CCAAACTATGGTTGGTTGTTAAATTGTTTCGTTAGTCATTTACATCACACTACACAACATGTAGCTTACATCTTCTGGCCATCGTATATTTTTTACGTCCATATGTAACAGGAAATCTTGATCAAGATTGCAATTATCTAATAAGCGTTTAGAATTATGCTCAATAATAGAGGAGATAGATGTAACACATTGATCATTACCATCAGTAATCAACACATATGACGTTTTAAATATATTTGAATATTTGCGTAAAGAAATAGCTAAACCAGCAGCACCAGTCATACCAGCACATAATTCACAGACGTTTTCAATCGGATGATCACCAAAATTATTATACAATTCATTCCATAGACCAGGATAAAGGCAATCAAAGAACATACTGTGGGCCAATAAAATTTCACTAGACCATAAGTGAACATTCCCTGTGTTATCGAAACCAGTTAACACATCTAACAATGGATTCATACAAGAAGAGTCGGTTGTTTTAGCGATACTAAGTGTTTTATAGATCCGTACATGTAAAGAAGAAACAATGGTGGGTAATTCAAGTGAATCATTTGACTGGTGAATAACCGGACGCGGTACAAGTTCCAACCACAAAGTATTTTCATCTATCTGTTATTTATAATCGAAAATATATGAAAATAAATACTTCAATGAAATATTGTAGGATTTGAACATAATTCATCAGGAATTCAAATCACTCAGGGATAACACATTACGTTCATAAAAAACTATCCAATCAGTTTATATATGGATGACCAGGCAATATAATTGCATCTAATACAAATAAGTGACTTATATCCTATTGCATGAACTTGTAGAGAATTACCTGGCTATAGATAACCAATTACGAAGTCTATATATATATTGATTAAAGACAACGAATAACCATTACGATAAAACTGAAAGGATGGGGTTGACTTTCATTTTGAATGTTACCAGAAAAACTATCTCACGATGAACATTTAGTAGATAATGTTAGTTTCCAAAATTACTTCAGTCCTCAATATAGTAGGTCTAACTTACTCCACATTGTGTTTTATAATTTTGCCAAAAGCACCATCATGAAGACATAATTATTTACAAAGAAAATCCGCAACGAAAATTTTTGCTACGATTTATCCGTTGTAGTCTTTAGACAGTCAAAATATAATTCCTAATATACGAGATTAGCGATGTACATGCATTAGAAGAGTATATGAGATTTGTGACGGTCACCCAATTTTCAGTTTGCGTTACATTCAGTGGCAGTGTCATGTTAGTAATGCAGAGGTTCGGCATCGTGTGTTCGGGCACAGATGATAATGCAATCGATGTCACCATCTTGAAACATCGACTTCGGTGGCTTGGACATGTTCTACGAATGTCGTCCCAGAGAATTCCACGTCGTGCATTATTTGCCGACTCTGGGACTGGTTGGAAGAAGCGGAGAGGTGGTCAGTGTATGACATGGTGTCGTGGTATGAAAGAAAGCTGCAAAGGACTGGCTTGTGTTGGTCCTTCACGACTCCCTGGTTGGGGTCCGAGAGATGGTGCTACACAGTGGCTAGAGACGTTGTCAGATATGGCTGAGAATAGAAGCCAGTGGCGATCCTGCTGTAACCTTTTATACTCTTCATAAAAAGTGGTTGTGTCTTCCTTAACTGAAAGATTTCTTCTGATTGTACCTTTCCGTTCCCTCATTATTACTATTATTATTACTACACTACCTTACACCAACCTCTTCGTTATTGTTCTCTTTTTTTTCACGCTCCTTACCTTTTTTTTCTTTCCCTTCGAATTCTCATTGTTTTATGCGGCGCATATATTTTGGCGCTCTCTTGTACCAATATTTATGTGTTCAAATAATAATAATAATAAACAAACTGACGATCATTGAAAACTAAGAGGCACTAGACACCTGATTCGTTCAAGTACAAGACTCCTTGACAGTGTACATCCGAGACACTCAAAGGGGTTCAACTCAGGACCTCTAGACCTTGTGGCGAGTGTCTAACCCTTAGACTACTAAGTTGGTATATGATGGTTCACACAATTCACTCTATTGCGTGACTATTATCTACTTCATACTACGTAAAAAAAAGCAGTTCAGTGGTTTCTGGCTTTGTGGTCATCTGAATAATTAGTACGTGATGTAAACTGTGGATATAAATACGCTTGTCAAAACACAAAACAGGTCAGGGTCATTGGATTTTGTTATTTTAAAAATATGGATAATAAACCCTTTATTGTTAAGAGTTCTTTCACAAGGTCAATTTAATGATTAGGACTTCATTTCCACATTACACATGACGGGATTAATGTTAAACATATAAGTGACTTTTTTGATCATTAGATACATCCTGAAATTCCATGAACTGATGTCTTTTCATATTACTGAGATAATAGGGGAGAAACTGTTGACAACAATCAATGGGATTCAGTTTCTAAAAAATATGCTGTTAGTCACTTGCACAGAAATTTCGGTAGCTCATGTGTTTTTGTAGTCCTGGTGTTTAGAAAAACAATTAATGCTTCACAATAAAACCATCCAGTTCAATGTCATCTTAACGAAATCTGTCAACCAATTTAACAATCGGGTTTTCGTCAAAACAAGAAAACAGCCATTTGGTGTAGGTTCACAATCTCAACAGACGATTCATTTTCTTTACCTAAACATTTGCACTAAAATGAAATATTGCCGAACTAATTTGTGCATTATACGTCAGTATTGTTGCAGAAATACAAACGAACTAAGATTCTAATCAATAAAATATTCATTCTACACGGCTGAGAATCATTTCTGAAAACCTAAGCACCCTTTTGCATTTTGCTTTGTCCCTCCATTTTTAACTGCAATGTACTGTTAGCGAATTGCGCATAAACTACTCGAATCTTTTACCATAGCTGTAATGGGTTTAGATTAGATAACCTTAAAGAGATTCATTGGCTTTTAACGGAATCGAGTTTTAGGTGGCAAAAAATTTTTACAACAGAATAAGTACTGAAGTATACAGCTTCTAAACTGTTCATATTACTTCACAATACATTCCTCCAAGTTATACAAAAAATACGCTCGTTATATGGTACAAATTGTTTACCAATAATACTTATGAACTCGAATTGGAGTCATATTTTTTGTGAGCTAGTGATACTATGAAACCGTCCAAACCAATGTATGTCAATCGAAACTTGTGCATACATGAAACTCCTCTCATCATTTGTGGCATTTGCTGACAAACTGTCCAGTACTAAGTTCGTTTATTAGTCATTTAAATTCCACACATTTTACACATCAATAGTTGGTCACAATGTTGAAAATAACTAGAAAACTGATTAACTATTTGCAATCAGTGCGACATATGACAGACCACTGCAAGATCGAAGTGAAAAATAAGTGACATTTCCACTGATAAGGAAAATTTCTTGATATATTTTAGTTCAGACATTTGAGTAACAAACAAGTGGATAAACATCTTATCTAAGAGTAAAGCTACTAAGGGAACACGAGTCAGATCAAGCTCCAAAAGGACCCAAGTCTTGAACACCAAAAACATGCGAATCGACAATATCACAAGGTGGTCAAATGTAAATATATATGGGCTCAATTAGAGTGCCTTTGCTGTTGTTAGGCATCTAAATTTGAAAATGGAAAAACTTTTAAATCCAATATGTATCTTTAAACTATTCTTAGGGTTACATATGTACTATCATGTAACCATATTAAAGTTAATCACAAACCAATAAGTGACAGAAAACCATATGTTTATAGTGGGGAACTAAAATCCCACTTGATTCACCACTGGCCGTAGTATTTCTAATTTCTGAACCTCATTTTCTTAGAAGCAGAAATGTTAGTTATCTCTGGATAGCAGGTAGTAGCATGTGAAAACGATTTATTTAAAGTCCAGTTCACGGTCACACATGTTTAGTGAGACAATGTGGTTATTCACTGAAAAATACTTTTAAATTAACGTTTGTTTGACAGACTAACCAAAACTAAGCCTGTAAGACAAGAAACCTTACCTATCGAGTTAGTTTAGTGTCCTAAAGATATTTCAATAGATGAGACGTGGATTTTGAAATAGGATCAACTGGCACAAGTTCGCTAAAATAGAACTACATGGGTGTAAAAACCCTCTATTTGTACAGATAACCTAGTTAGGTTTGAAAGTATTGTCAAGTTTGTATATCCATAAAATTCAAAAGGATAAGGGTAGGCTTATGTAATCTTATAGTGGGTGGCCTATACTCCTCCACGAGGGGTAACAGGGGTATGTAAAAACAGCAACATTAATAATTTGATTATTCCCTCAGTGAACTTCTAACAAGTCAGTAAAGCAACTCAAAAACACTTTTTTAATGGGCAGATTTGCCAAGTCACGGCTTTACTCTTCAAAAGGAACCCTCAAGTCGATAATTTCTAGAATCTCTTAATCTGTATGTTATTGCATAGAGTTACAATTTTAGACTACTTAGAATCCCAAAAAACGTTTCAGTATACAGTACTAACGTCAACACCCCCCTAAACAAGATTAATGTTTGAAACAGACGATCATTTGTAATACTGAGAAATACTGGTTAAATAAGAAAGATAATACGGATGCTTTTATTAACGAAGTTATATTAACTAAACCAGCTGGGAATTGTTTCCGCTGTGGGAATTGAGGTGTGGCTTATTGTTTCCAGGTCAAATAGAAATTCAATTCTTACCTAACACGTTTAGTTATAAATACTGTGGGGAGTAAAACTAAGAGATGACAAATACTAAGTGATAAATGCACACGACAATCACCTCGGCGGACTGTTCTAATAGATGGACTTCAAAAACCTTTTTCGTCAAACGACTAGTTTCAAAGTGCCTGCTACAAGATAATTTAGGCTTTCCTTCTTTGTAACTACACTTGACTGCGCGTGCAAGAATACTCCAAAGTTGTGAAGAACTACGGTTTCCTTTATTCATTACTAGAATGTGGAACTCTATTGAGCAAAGCTCCTGACAAAATTGGAGAGCCAGATTATTCTAAGCTTTCATTTCCTTGAGATCCTGATTCCTCCCGAACTGCTATTGCTTCTATTTCTATTTTCCCATTCTGATTATCGGATTAATTAAACAAGCAACATACTTTCGGTAAACATTCAACTTGGTAAGTAGCCCGAGCTGGATATGGATCTGCAAAATCTGAAAGAGGGTAGAGTTATTAGTACCAAAAATTACATTGTGCATATATCGTATTAACTTTCCCGAAATCATTCATATCGGCTAAAAGCAAAGTGGTCTTAACAACATCCCGCATAGTAAAACCAGCAGACTGAACTACTTCTCTGATGTTTTTAAGAGACTGATGAGTTTGTGATTCAACATCATCTCCAGCAAAAAGCATTGTGTCAGGATCAAGACCCAACTGGCCTGAAATATATAGGGTGTTATTCACAGCTACACCTTGACTACAAAATGGAGATTTTGGTTTTATATTACTTGTATGGTCCTATAGATTTTGGTGCCCTGGGTGTATTTATAATTTTACGACCCAATTTAGACATCGGAAGTAGGTATTTGGAGAACCGAAAACCAAAACTGACCTTCGACACTTTTCCTACCGCCACTACCCAAACCAACTCCAATACATCCAATATCTAATAACTATATCACGTGCTTGTATAAACCGAATAATTTATTTGCTCTCTCTTCTTGATGTTTCTGTATGGTCCCAGATAGTTGGTTATGTATAATGTGTGACAGTCTAGACACTCGTCTGCACTAATTCTAGTCAGTTTGGCAATTAGTTGAGGATTTGTATATTTTTAGTTCCAGTGACTGCGTTTGTCCCAGGGCGATAGGGTTTCTGGATACTAGCATCTATCGCATCATCAGGTGAGAAGTTAGGTGATTGCACTGAAAATAATAATGTGATAATTCGAGTGCTAAGTGAAGAGGATTGTTTCAAGAATAAACAAATGATTTACATAATAGGTGTAAGAAGATAGAATTGGAAGAATAAGGGAGTAAACGGAAATAATAATAAGAGAGATATGGATTGGTTACTGATATGTGGCAATGACAACCGTGGTAAGTACATAAGACATATCTATTCCGAGTGGGAGATTGTTATCTTCGGGTGAACACGTGTTCATCAAATCTCCTTTTAAAGCCGTGGTCACTTCAGCTGAGAGAATATTCTAAATGAAAGTAACTTTTAGAAGGAAAAATAGGAGCGCACATATGCGATTGTTCCTTGATATGCAATCCTTAGAGGGTTACCTCAAGGAGCGTTCTGATGGTGTTCTTGTGCTTGTGTCGGGGTGACGTGGAAATTAATATGTTGTATGCTATTGTCAGATAACCTCTTATTCTCCCGTATCTCGTAGAGAATAACATTATGTGTTGGAGCTTGTCCACGTACAATCTATGTTTAAGGCCTATCGTCCACTTTGTTGCCAGTTTCCGTACTTGGTCTAAGAGACTGATGTCTTTTTCAAAGATATTGTGAATCTCAATGTACTGCCGTGTGTACGCCTTAAACGAATTTGGGAAATACCCTGTAGTGAGTGCGCCAAGGACTCTTAGCATAAAATGGGGAGTTGCATTTGCCTTCACTGAATCCCTCCTGTAGTTTGAGCTGTTATCTAAGCTCTCTGTGGTTACAAACATAAGATTATGCTCTGAGGAGACAATCGGGAGTGGATTTCTATGGAGGATGTGGTTGCTTGTATCAAATGAGGCAGAACATTCATGACAGAACATTTTGACCGGTTAAGTTTTAACTCATTGTCTATTACATATTCCTATATTATTTTAGGTTTGTAACAACTTAGGGTGATTGGTTAAGAGTTGGCCGCAAACATCTTAGTAGCTTCAGAGAATTAAAGTTCATGTATTCATTCACTTCCTTATTTTGTACAGGGATTAAATTTATATATATATATATATATATATTCAGACTGTTCCAGATGTGGTGTTTGTGTCAACATAAAATCCCTTTGAATAATAATCCCCGACTGAGTTGAATCATAAAACACAGGACCGCAGTGTACGCACATTGACTTCTCTTTAATATGAACATAGATCAGTCGCTGACTACCAGAGTGTGAGCATGATAGTCCTGAGAAATATTGGTATAACGACTCATAAGTTAATTTAATTCAGTGATCAGTAAAAGTCTGCCAAGTACTGGGCATTATGCAATAAAATCCAAAGAAGTTTCTGTAAAGTGGTTTGCACGACGTAAGTACCATATATGACTCACTAGGGAATTAAGCGAATCGTTTCGAGAAAATAGGACCTAAATCAAATTTGTCTGTAAAGCGCTCCGTGATTTTTGTGTTGTGGCGTTGAAAACGACTTATGGTGTCTGACTACATAGTAAAAACAAAGTTTAATTATAAACATTTTCATGTCCTTTTAAACATGTGCTTAAAAACATAAATTAAGTATTACGTAGTTTGATAACACTATCTTCCCAGTTCATTGGAAGTTAACATCATCATTTTCCAGTAAGATTTCTTGAGTTGTCAGTTTTATTATGATTACACTCAAGGCCAAATTAGTAGCTAGTTTGTCTGGGTCGTTAATATCTTTGCAAAAATCAGTTAACCCATAATCGTGAGAGTCATATAATTCCGAATATGATACTCTGAAATAAATAAAACCGAAAATTAGTGAAGTTAGTAATGATCACTTTAAACTACAATTATAAAAACTTAATTTTCCTAACCAACATTAAACCTGGAAAGTAAGAAGATAAGCTGATAGTCTTGATGAGAGCTCAACTTGACACACTGTTACCCCACGTTAATTTAATCACTGCCCAAGCCACCTGAAATACACAGGTTTGAAATAGAAATACGTAAGCGCTCCAAGAAATAGCATCTTTATATAGCCTGATTTTCGAAGGGATTCAAAAATCCGGTTAAAAGTGATAAATAAAAACAGTTTACGCATCTCAGCGCCACGCGGTTGACAGCAACTTAATAAGATCTTCACAAGAACTCGCGCGATTTCATGTTCGTTTGTCTTATTTAAACTCGAGGTAAACTGAGCATTCCTTTGAAATGTGAAGACTATAACACCACACGAACTACTTGATTATCTTACTTCGGTAATTTGAAGCATGCGATCGGAGACTTCCGAGAATAGCCTGTTTTTTACTAGCCTAGATAGCGGCTTTATTACATAGTCGTAAAAGCCAAGAAACGCAACGTCAAACAACCAGGGTTTCACCAACGACGTGCTTGTAAACCAAATAATAATTATAAGAAAGCTTGTTGACAATACTGAGTGTAAGATCCGTTTTGAATGTTTTGTGTGTGTGTGTGTGTGTGAAAATCCCTCCATGTATACACTTGCAATATGTTCCTATTGATTCCCTGAATTGTACATTGTTAGTCTTTCGATTACACGTGGGTTGTTAATATTTGTGTTTTTTATTATAGTTTTTATTTTTCTTACGACTTCACTAAATTTTTGCGTTTCTTCCCGAACTGCATCTATGTTGTTTTACTTGATACTTGTTCTTGGCGGCAGCCACATTGATTTGCTTTTTCTTTTGTGCGTGTTCTATCCAGTCAGGATAGAATAGCGTTCATTTGTTGTGACTGGTAATTTTTCCCGCATCTTTTATCAACTTCTTTATTTATTGTAATTTAGATTTGATTGATTGAACAATTATTGGTTGAATAGCCGGGTGGTAATATTTGTTTAGGTAACGATGTACATTTAAATTTATGATGAATTATAGAACCGCTATTTACCCGATTACGTGTTTTGATTTTGACGGGCGAGGGCGCGTGTCTAACTTACCTGAACGGCTATTCATCGGTCCAAACCGCAGTTTGGATTCTACACTGAGGGCTCTGAAAACTGAAAGGAGCTCGAAAACAGTGTCAGGGGCGAAAATGTGTGAGGAAACATGCTAACATAATGCAGTGCAGATCACCTCTGGGACCAGTAATTACTACAACATTACTATGACGTGCTATTGTGAAGAACCAACTTCTGGGACGCTGAGATTATTCTTTAACATGCAGAAAATGGAAATTACCACACAATTAAATAACCACATTCATCTGATGTGGAAAACCATGGAACATTTACTTCAGATAACATGAAATAATATAAACAATAAAAATGTGGTGAAAAGAAGATATTTCCAGTTTCAGTTTCATTTCAAAAAGAAACTTAGGATAGGCTATGTTAGTTCTGGCAATGGAAGTCTGTCAGTTAATCCAACTTACTATTGAAAGTGTAGACAAATGGAGCTTCAATCACATCTTGAGTTGATGAATTCCATTCGTTGATGATTAGATAGGAAGATCGATAGCCGGCTAATAATTAGTTTGTTCTGCACTTGTGAGCATTTTAAAAGTGTCACCGTAATTCCTGTGTTGAAAAACAAGGAAAGTGAAGACATGTCAGATGCAAATTTATTACCAAGTAACGACACTGCTTCTTTTAAGTTACCGTAGAAATAGGTTGAGTTTAGGCAGTGGAGCAGCATATGGCAGTTTCGCATTTGGAGGAATAAGATTAGTCTCATTGGACCTTTGCCAACAGTTCACTGCCTATTTTTAGTCAAAGGTTAGCTGCTTGAAGGCAGTATTTTTGGACAGGTCAGTTCGAAAGACAGTGAGTTCAATGAAACTGCAAGATCAACGAAGCAGAAAGCAAGGCGCAATATGGTATCCATATTTTAATACAAAGGGGTCGGAAACGATCCGCATTTCACCCATGAGCGCGAAAGTCTCCAGCTCTACTAGAGTTTCTTCACCAAGTGTGATTGGGTTGGTGTTCTCCGTGTTGTATTTGGGGATTTTGCCTTTTCCCTTGTATATGTTGAGGCCTACTGATACGAAGACTGCCGCTACACTTACTGCCCCCAAATGCCCTGACTGTCTTGATCTGCATTTGTTGGTGTGTATGGAATAGAAGGACCAGGTCATCTGAAGAGTCCAAATCGTCTAGCTGCATCCAAGCTTTCTATTGTATTCCATGCTTACCCTGAAATGTGGAGGTCTTCATAATTTAGTCAACCACCAGAAGAAAGACGAAGGGAGAGAGTAATCAACCTTGTCTGTCTCCGGTCCTTACTTGGGATGCATCTGTCAGCTGTCCTGCATGCGCTATTTTGCATTGTAGTCCGTCGTATGAATTCCGGATGATGTTGACGATTTGCTCAGGTACACCATAGTGTCGAAGAAGGTTCCATGATGTTCTATCCACGCTGTCAAACGCCTTTTTCGTAGTCAAGGAAGTTGATGTGTATAGTGACGAGTTCCATTCAACTGAATTTTGAGCGATACGTCTACTGAATCTATCATCCGGCTCAGCAACATTGTTGGAAACTTTTCATAGTACTGATTGTAATGTGATGTTTCTGTATTTTTCAGACTTCCTCAGATCTTTTATTGATATCTTGATGAGGTATCCTTCTTTCCAGTCTGTCGACACTTCTTCCTTCTCTCAAGTCTTCCTGAATGGATTGTGGAGCACGTTCGCAGTTGCTTTTATGTCTGACTTCAGAGCTTTACCTGGTATGTTGTCACGT